CATATGACTCTGTCTGCTCTCAGTCAGGTATAAGAAACATAAAACCATGGCTAAAACTATACATTGTAGCATTACTACAGATTCTTACAGTATTATATTCTCTATGAGTTGGTGGATTAATCTTCAGTGTTCATGCCATTGTCAGTTTGTGACAGTTGTTTGCAAATGTATGGATTTATGTTGCAGTATAAAATCCATTATCATGGCTATGGTCAAAATCATGTTCATGGTGAGGTTTTATTAGGTTTACATTGGTACCATTGTCGTGGAGGGTCTTTATTTGACCTGTTCAGTGTTGATGTGTCCACAGAGGATAAAATGTTTTTTTGTATGGTGTAATATCACTGTGGCCCCCGTATAGTCACAGTGATACAAATCATAACAAAAACCACCCACCAGTACCACACCTGCTGTATGAGGATAGCAACACATTCAGATGGTTGTGGATAGGTGATAATACAAATGTCTACTATTTATTAGAATATTTTAGAATATTCTAATCGTCAGTTAACTGTTTTGTAAAGTAGTATATATTATAACATGGTTTAATTCGTCTTTATAATTAGAAAATGATAAGGTTTATAATGTCTTCGTTTTCAACACACTCAAAATAATTGTTATTTAGTCAGCATTAGTATGAATAGTTTAACCTTTATTAATAATTGTTATTTAGTCAGCATTTTTATTTAACCAGGTAAGCCAGTTGAGAACAAGTTCTCATTTACAACTGCGACCTGGCCAAGATAAAGCAAAGCAGTGCGATAAAAACAACAACACAGAGTTACATATGGGGTAAAACAAAACATAAAGTCAAAAATACAACAGAAAATATATATACAGTGTGTGCAAATGTAGCATGTTATGGAGGAAAGGCAATAAATAGGCCATAGTGCAAAATAATTACAATTAGTATTAACACTGGAATGATAGATGTGCAAGAGATGATGTGCAAACAGAGATACTGGGGTGCAAATGAGCAAAATAAATAACAATATGGGGATGAGGTAGTTGAGTGGGCTAATTTCAGAAGGGCTGTGTACAGGTGCAGTGATCGGTAAGGTGCTCTGACAACTGATGCTTAAAGTTAGTGAGGGAGATAAGAGTCTCCAGCTTCAGAGATTTTTGCAGTTCGTTCCAGTCATTGGCAGCAGAGAACTGGAAGGAATGGCGGCCAAAGGAGGTGTTGGCTTTGGGGATGACCAGTGAGATATACCTGCTGGAGCGCATACTACAGGTGGGTGTTGCTATGGTGACCAATGAGCTAAGATAAGGAAGAGATTTGCCTAGCAGTAAATTATAGATGGCCTGGAGCCAGTGGGTTTGGCGACGAATATGTAGTGAAGGCCAGCCAACAAGAGTGTACAGGTCACAGTGGTGGGTAGTATATGGGGATTTGGTGGCAAAACAGATGGCACTGTGATAGAATACATCCAATTTGCTGAGTAGAGTGTTGGAGGCTATTTTGTAAATGACATCGCCGAAGTCAAGGATCGGTAGGATAGTCAGTTTTACGAGGGCATGTTTGGCAGCATGAGTGAAGGAGGCTTTGTTGCAAAATAGGAAGCCGATTCTAGATCTAACTTTTGATTGGAGATGCTTAATGTGAGTCTGGAAGGAGAGTGTCTAACCAGACACCTAGGTATTTGTAGTTGTCCACATACTCTAGGTCAGACCCGTCGAGAGTAGTGATTCTAGTCGGGTGGGCGGGTGCCAGCAGCGTTCGATTGAAGAGTACTCCTGAGTGGCGCAGTGGTCTAAGGCACTGCATCGCAGTGCTAACTGTGCCACTAGAGATCCTGGTTCGAATCCAGGCTCTGTCGCAGCAGGCTGCGACCGGGAGACGCATGGGCGGCGCACAATTGGCCCAGCATCGTCCAGGGTAGGGGAGGGAATGGCCGGCAGGGATGTAGCTCAGTTGAGAGAGCATGGCGTTTGCAACGGCAGGGTTGTGGGTTCGATTCCCACGGGGGGCCAGTATAAAAAAATATATATGTATTCACTAACTGTAAGTCGCTCTGGATAAGAGCGTCTGCTAAATGACTAAAATGTAAGAGCATGTATTTAGTTTTACTAGTGTTTAAGAGTAGTTGGAGGCTACGGAAGGAGTGTTGCATGGCATTGAAGCTCGTTTGGAGGTTTGTTAACACAGTGTCCAATGAAGGGCCAGATGTATACAAAATGGTGTCGTCTGCGTAGAGGTGGATCTGACATTCACCATTAGCAAGAGCGACATCATTGATATACACGGAGATAAGAGTCGCCCCAAGAATTGAACCCTGTGGCACCCCCATAGAGACTGCCATAGGTCCAGATAACAGGCCCTCCGATTTGACACATTGACCTCTATCTGAGAAGTAGTTGGTGAACCAGGCAAGGCAGTCATTTGAGAAACCAAGGCTATTTAGTCTGCCAATAAGAATGCGGTGGTTGACAGAGTCGAAAGCCTTGGCCAGGTCGATGAAGACGGCTGCACAGTACTGTCTATTATCGATCGCGGTTATAATAACGTTTAGGACCTTGAGCGTGGCTGAGGTGCACCCATGACCAGCTCGGAAATCGGATTGCATAGCGGAGAAGGTATGGTGGGATTCGAAATGGTCGGTGATCTGTTTGTTAACTTGGCTTTCAAAAACTTTCAAAAGGCAGGGCAGGATGGATATACAGTGGGGGAAAAAGGTATTTAGTCAGCCACCAATTGTGCAAGTTCTCCCACTTAGATCTCACCCCGTGGGGTCAAAATGATCACAAGAACGGTGAGCATAAATCCCAGAACCACACGGGGGGACCTAGTGAATGACCTGCAGAGAGCTGGGACCAAAGTAACAAAGCCTACCATCAGTAACACACTACGCCGCCAGGGACTCAAATCCTGCAGTGCCAGACGTGTCCCCCTGCTTAAGCCAGTACATGTCCAGGCCTGTCTGAAGTTTGCTAGAGTGCATTTGGATGATCCAGAAGAGGATTGGGAGAATGTCATGTGGTCAGATGAAACCAAAATAGAACTTTTTGGTAAAAACTCAACTCGTCGTGTTTGGAGGACAAAGAATGCTGAGTTGCATCCAAAGAACACCATACCTACTGTGAAGCATGGGGGTGGAAACATCATGCTTTGGGGCTGTTTTTCTGCAAAGGGACCAGGACGACTGATCCGTGTAAAGGAAAGAATGAATGGGGCCATGTATCGTGAGATTTTGAGTGAAAACCTCCTTCCATCAGCAAGGGCATTGAAGATGAAACGTGGCTGGGTCTTTCAGCATGACAATGATCCCAAACACACCGCCCGGGCAACGAAGGAGTGGCTTCGTAAGAAGCATTTCAAGGTCCTGGAGTGGCCTAGCCAGTCTCCAGATCTCAACCCCATAGAAAATCTTTGGAGGGAGTTGAAAGTCTGTGTTGCCCAGCGACAGCCCCAAAACATCACTGCTCTAGAGGAGATCTGCATGGAGGAATGGGCCAAAATACCAGCAACAGTGTGTGAAAACCTTGTGAAGACTTACAGAAAACGTTTGACCTGTGTCATTGCCAACAAAGGGTATATAACAAAGTATTGAGAAACTTTTGTTATTGACCAAATACTTATTTTCCACCATAATTTGCAAATAAATTCATTAAAAATCCTACAATGTGATTTTCTGGAGAAAAAAAATCTCATTTTGTCTGTCATAGTTGACGTGTACCTATGATGAAAATTACAGGCCTCTCTCATCTTTTTAAGTGGGAGAACTTGCACAATTGGTGGCTGACTAAATACTTTTTTTCCCCACTGTAGGTCTGTAACAGTTTGGATCTAGAGTGTCACCCCCTTTGAAGAGGGGGATGACCGCGGCAGCTTTCCAATCTCTGGGGATCACAGACGTTACGAAAGAGAGGTTGAACAGGCTAGTAATAGGGGTTGCGACAATTTCGGTGGCTATTTTTAGAAAGAAAGGGTCCAGATTGTCTAGCCCAGATGATTTGTAGGGGTCCAGATTTTGCTGCTCTTTCAGAACATCAGCTGTCTTATGAATGGTTTAACGTTTATTAATAATTGTTATTTATTCAGCATTAGTATGAATGGTTTAACCTTTAATAATAGTTGTTATTTAGTCAGCATCATTATGAATGGTTTAACCTTTAATAATTGTACTGTTGTCAGCATCATTATGAGTTGTTTAACCTTTAATAGTTGTTATGTAGTCAGCAGCATTATGAATGGTTGAACCTTTAATATTTGTTATTTAGTCAACATCATTATGAATGGTTTAACCTTTAATAGTTATTATTTAGTCAGCATCATTATGAATGGTTTAACATTTAATTGTTGTTATTCAGTCAGCATCATTATGAATAGTTTAACCTTTAATAGTTGTTATTCAGTCAGCATCATTATGAATGGTTTAACCTTTCTGTTTAATACTAGCTCCAGCTCCTTTGGTGCAATTGGATGTTCATAATTTCTATCACTAAAATAACTAATAACAAAAAAAAAATAGTATCACTTTTCTTTTTTTAAATCTGCTTATAACCTGCTTATAAACATTCAACCGTTTTGAACTTACACGTACAAGTATGTTATTCATGATTTAATTATGACTGCATATAGATGTACTAGTTATGTATAAAGCTTTTCAGACAGTTTATCTCACATTCCCAGGAAGTGTCCATTTTGACTGTGACAATATGAACTGGGTAATCCTTAGGGAACGATGGTTACATGCGACAAACATTTTGTTTTTTTTGTACAGGTCATGCTTTGCTTCACACCACTCTGTGTCATTATATCTGACACAGTAATACACAGCTGTGTCTTCAGTTTGAATTCTCTGCCCTTTTAAAGTCACTATGTTGTTGGAACCATCTTTGGAGATGCTGAACCTGCTTTTCAAACAATCTTTGCAGTTTCCATCTGAACCATTCCATAGCTTAATCTACAGGATGTCTAATCCAGTCTTTGGTATAGCTGTCATCACTGATAGAACAGCCAGAGACCTTACAGGTGATACTCAAAGATGCTCTGGGCGTTACAACCATTTAGCTTGGCTGGGTGAGATCTTGGTCAACAATACCTTGCACACCTGTGGGGGGGGGGGGGGGGGGGGGGGGGGGAATCTAGATGTTTGGAAATGGTCTAACATTAGATACATGATACATTGATACAGTTTGATTATGTTATAGTAATATTTCTTCAAGAAATAGCATCCTATGTTTTGCATTAAATCACCTAATGCCTGAAAGGGAGCTGCCCGCAGCAGCAACAGCAGCAGATATGGAGGGAACATGGTTTGTGAGGAAGCTGAACTGATACTTATTCACTCCATCTGAGTGAACGAGAGAGGGACTCCTTTTTATATAAAAACAGGGGAATTGCTTTGAATCAAAGTCTGAGATTTAGGATTAAAGGAGAAGTACAGTTATATAAAATACTAATATCACAGTGACATGTTGAGGAGAACAGTTATTTATCATAATAATACAATTATCTGTTATAGGATGCATTGACTTGCATTATGAATGGTTCTGTTCTGCTCATTGTTTACAGTATGTTATTATTATCATTATCATTGATGCTTTGAGAACTGCACAGAAGGCACAGATGGTGAGAATCTAACTATTGGTGTCCCCCAAAGATATTGTCACGATCGTCTAAGGAGGAGGACCAATGCGCAGCGTTGAAGGTGAACATATTTATTTAGAGAATGATCACACGATCAAAACAACAGACGATAACGTGATGTCTACGGATTAACACAAACCAAATAAGAACAAGAAATCACAAACAATGAATGCCTAACGGCTACCTAAGTATGACTCCCAATCAGAGACAACAGCCCTCTCTGATTGGGAGCCACCCTGGCCAACATAGATCTACAACGACTAGAACATAAACAAATGAACACCCTGGCTCAACATACGAGAGTCCCCAGAGCCAGGGCGTGACAGTACCCCCCCCCAAAGGCGCGGACTCCGACCGCGCCAACCAAACACAACAGGGGAGGGACCGGGTGGGCACTCCGCCTCGGCGGCGGATCCGGCTCCGGACATGACCCCCACTCCTTCTCCAAACCCCCAAAGTACCCCTGGTCCGGTCTGGCCCTGCTGAACGGAGCTGGACTGCACACTGGTGGAGCGGATAGCTTCAGCTCCGTAGTGGAGCAGTTGACCGGGACCTTACCAGGCACCGGTGACCCAGGCACGGGTTGTGCTGGACTGACGACGCGCACCCCTGGCTTGGTGCGTGGAGGTGGAACGGGCCTTACCAGGCTGACGACGCACACCGTAGGCTTGGTGCGTGGAGCAGGGACAGGCCGGACTGGGCTGACGAAGCACACCACTGACTTGGTGCGGGGAGCAGGAACGGGCCGAGCCGGGCTGACGAAGCGCACCACTGACTTGGTGCGGGGAGCAGGAACGGGCCGAGCCGGGCTGACGAAGCGCACCACTGACTTGGTGCGGGGAGCAGGAACGGGCCGAGCCGGGCTGACGAAGCGCACCACTGACTTGGTGCGGGGAGCAGTAACGGGCCGAGCCGGGCTGACGAAGCGCACCACTGACTTGGTGCGGGGAGCAGGAACGGGCCGAGCCGGGCTGACGAAGCGCACCACTGACTTGGTGCGGGGAGCAGGAACGGGCCGAGCCGGGCTGACGAAGCGCACCACTGACTTGGTGCGGGGTGCAGGAACGGGCCGAGCCGGGCTGACGAAGCGCACCACTGACTTGGTGCGGGGAGCAGGAACGGGCCGAGCAGGGCTGACGAAGCGCACCACTGACTTGGTGCGGGGAGCAGGAACGGGCCGAGCCGTACTGGGGACACACACCACTGGCCCTACACCGGGATCTGGAACGGGCCGGACCGGACTGGTAACACACACCAGTACCTCTCGCCGTGCCTCTACACCTTCCATCCCCTCTTCGACCAGTGGCCCCCGTAACCTGGCAGCCTCCTCTGCCAACCCGCTGGACCGCTCTATCGCAGCCTCCTGCTGCCCCGACGTCGTGAGCCCCCCCCTAAAAAATTTCTGGGCGTCTCTCTTCCCCGTGGACCAGGCCTCTATCGTTCTCGCCCAACTCTCGCTCTCCTGCTTCCAACTCCAGCCATTCTGCTCCTCCTTTGGCTTGACACAGTCGAGACTCTTCCTCCATTGTTCCCAAGTCCACCCTCTCTGCTCCTCACTAGGCTTGACCCAGTCGAGGTTGCCACGGAGATCTGCTAACGATTCCCCTGGCGATGGCTCCTGGACACGCTGCTTGGTCCAGTTTTGGTGGTTTCTTCTGTCACGATCGTCTAAGGAGGAGGACCAATGCGCAGCGTTGAAGGTGAACATATTTATTTAGAGAATGATCACACGATCAAAACAACAGACGATAACGTGATGTCTACGGTTTAACACAAACCAAATAAGAACAAGAAACCACAAACAATGAATGCCTAACGGCTACCTAAGTATGACTCCCAATCAGAGACAACGAGCTACAGCCCTCTCTGATTGGGAGCCACCCTGGCCAACATAGATCTACAACGACTAGAACATAAACAAATGAACACCCTGGCTCAACATACGAGAGTCCCCAGAGCCAGGGCGTGACAGATATAATATATACAAGGCCCATTACTGTTTTTAGTTAACAGATAAAGTGTGCTACCACAATTATGCTTCTATATTTCATTATGCTTAGTGAGGACATTAATCCGTACCAGTAAATCAAACTCTGAATTGGATTATGCTGATATTCCGCTGAATGTAAATAAGATGTCATCAAGAAGATATATGTGTACTGACTAACAGCACATGGCCAGAGGAGTGGATTAAGCTGCATTGAGCTTGATGAGGAATGGAATGCTTTCAATAAACTTGGAATGTATGCTGGATCCTTAGTTTGTCTGTCTCACATCACATTTGACTCTGCCAGTGAGAGATGTGCTTGATCAGTTTTTGTACAGTGCTGCAGCCTCCTGTGTCACTGTGTCTCTGGCACAATAGTAAACAGCAGAGTCTTCAGTCTTCAGACTGTTCATCTGGAGATACACCTGCTGTTTGCTGTTGTCTCTGGAGATGGTGAACCGATTCTTAACAGACTGGGAGTAGGAGATAGTACTACCACTTGGAGCAAAAATATAAGCAACCCACTCCAGTCCTTTCCCAGGAGCCTGTCTGATCCAGCCAATGGCAGCGTTATCGTTTGAGATTCCATCATATGTACAGGTCAGTTGGTGTGATTCTTCAGTCTTTTTAACCACAGGTCCAGACTCAGTCAGCGTCTGACCATGAATACCTGTTGATAAAAAGAGAGCATTTAAAACGTGAAGAAAAGCTTTTAAGGACACACAACCATCTGTTGAAAGTAAAAACAAAGTGTTTACCTGACAGTCCTATAATCAGTAGCAGTAGCCCTATTATGTAATCTTTGTTAAACATGTTAGACTATTGTCAATGTCTATCACTCAGTCTACTAGTCAGAGCTTCAGTCCCTCTCCTCTACTCTGCAGTGAGATAAGTAGTGATGGAAGAGCTCAGAGTTTTGCATTGACTCCTCCTCACAGGGTGGGAAGATCACACAGAGATTAAATAGGGAACTCAGAGATGGGGAACAGATTCATATGTTCTGAATACTTTGTTAATTACTTGTTTGTGTGACAAGAAGAAAGCTTGACCAGACTGGGCAAGAGATTGTTTGATTGTGTAGTTTGAATGTTAGAGGCTGGAGTCTTTTATTGTGTAGTGCTTTGTGATATTGTTGATGTATTATTTAGAGTAATGATACTCAGTACTATTCTATTGTGACACAAAGAGAGGAAGTAGTACACCACCTAGCCGTGATGTTAAGGGGTTTCTGTACAGCTGCTTCACCAGCTCCAGTCAGTGTGTCTGTCGAGCACAATAATAAACAGCAGAGTCCTCTGATCTCAGACTCTTGGCCTCTAAGAACTGTGTGCTTGTGGAGACGTCCTCAGTCAGGGTGAACTGGCCTTTCAGGGAGTCTGAGTAGACTGGAGCATCTGTTGAACCAGAGTTAACTCTCCCAATCCACTCCAGTACTTTGCCTGGTTTCTGCCTTATCCATTGCATGTAGAAGCTTGTCATATCAAACCCAGAGATTTTACAGGACAATTTAACAGTGTCTCCAGGTCTTTTCACCCGAGAAAGTGACTGATCCATCTCATCACAGAAAACACCTGCAAAACAAAAATGTTGACTCTCAGTTGAAGATCTGGTATTAACAGACATTTTGAGTTTAACCATGATACTCACACATTCTTCAGTCACTATGTAATGCTTTACTTACTGTGTATGGACATCACCATGACAACTAAACTCCAGACAGTCATAAGCTCCATTGTTCAGTGTTAGTTAGTACAGGACTTGTAATGTTGTAATGTCAGTCCAAGCAGCCTACAATGAGACGGCCAGATCTGTGTCTGATTATAAAGGGATGAATGGGAGGGAGACTTTGCATAGACCGTCCTCTAGAGGCTTAAATATCCTGACAGGGAGAGATCTGCTCTATTCGTTGATTCTCTCCTCCCTGTCCTTTGCTCTGCTCTCTGTAGTTCAGATTTTACTAATGAGACGTGTTGACTACATATAATGGCTTTAGTATGATGTGCTGACTATATATAATGGCTTTAGCATGATGTGTTGACTATATGTAATGGCTTTAGTATGATGTGTTGACTATATATAATGGCTTTAGTATGATGTGTTGACTATAAATAATGGCTTTAGTATGATGTGTTGACTATATATAATGGCTTTAGTATGATGTGTTGACTATATATAATCGCTTTAGTTTGATGTGTTGACTATATATAATAGCTTTAGTATGATGTGTTGACTATATATAATGGCTTTAGTATGATGTGTTGACTATATATAATGGCTTTAGTATGATGTGTTGACTATATATAATGGCTTTAGTATGATGTGTTCACTATATATAATGGCTTTAGTATGATGTGTTGACTATATATAATGGCTTTAGTATGATGTGTTGACTATATATAATGGCTTTAGTATGATGTGTTGACTATATTGTGTTGAAGTCGGAAGTTTACATACACTTAGGTTGGAGTCATTAAAACTTGTTTTTCAACCACTCCACACATTTCTTGTTAACAAACTATAGTTTTGGCAAATCGGTTAGGACATCTACTTTGTGCATGACACAAGTAATTTTTCCAACAATTGTTTACAGACAGATTATTTCACTTATAATTCACTATATCACAATTCCAGTGGTTCAGAAGTTTACATGCACTAAGTTTACTGTGACTTTAAACAGCTTGGAAAATTCCAGAAAATTATGTCATGGCTTTAGAAGCTTCTGATAAGCTAATTGACATCCTTTGAGTAAATTGGAGGTGTACCCGTGGATGTATTTCAAGGCCTACCTTCAAACTCGGTGCCTCTTTGCTTGACATCTTGGGAAAATCAAAAGAAATCAGCCAAGTCCTCAGAAAACAAATTGTAGACCTCCACAAGTCTGGTTCATCCTTGGGAGCAATTTCCAAACGCCTGAAGGTGCCACGTTCATCTGTACAAACAATAGTACGCAAGTATAAATACCATGGGACCACGCAGCCGCCATATCGCTCAGGAAGGAGACACGTTCTGTCTCCTAGAGATTAACGTACTTTGGTGTGAATGTGCAAATCAATCCCAGAACAATAGCAAAGGACCTTGCGAAAATGCTGGAGGAAACAGGTACAAAAGTATCTATATCCACAGTAAAACGAATCCTATATCGACATAACCTGAAAGGCCGCTCAGCAAGGAAGAAGCCACTGCACCCAAACCGCAATAAAAAAGCCAGACTACGGTTTGCAACTGCACATGGGGACAAATATCATACATTTTGGAGAAATGTCCTCTGGTCTAATGAAACAAAAATAGAACTATTTGGCCATAATGACCATCGTTATGTTTGGAGGAAAAAGGGGGTCACTTGCAAGCCGAAGAACACCATCCCAAAAGTGAAGCACAGTGGTGGCAGCATTATGCTGTGGAGGTGCTTTGCTGCAGGAGGGTCTGGTGCACTTCACAAAATAGATGGCATCATGAGGAAGGAAAATTATGTGGATATATTGAAACAACATCTCAAGACATCAGTCAGGAAGTTAAAGCTTGGTCGCAAATGGGTCTTCCAAATGGACAATGACCCCAAGCATACTTCCAAAGTTGTGGGAAAATGGCTTAAGGACAACAAAGTCAAGGTATTTGAGTGGCCATCACAAAGTCCTGACCTCAATCCTATAGAACATTTGTGGGCAGAACTGAACAAGCGTGTGCGAGCAAGGAGGCCTACAAACCTGACTCAGTTACACCAGCTCTGTCAGGAGAAATGGGCCAAAATTCACCCAACTTATTGTGGGAAGCTTGTGGAAGGCTACCTGAAACATTTGATCCAAGTTAAACAATTTAAAGACAATGCTACCAAATACTAATTGAGTGTATATACATTTCTGACCCACCGGGAATGTGATGAAATAAATAAAAGCTGAAATAAATAATTCTCTCTACTATTATTCTGACATTTCACCACTTAAAATAAAGTGGTGATCCTAACTGACCTAAGACATTGAATTTTTACTAGGATTAAATGTCAGGAATTGTGAAAAACTGAGTTTAAATGTATTTGGCTAAGGTGTATGTAAACTTCCGACTTCAACTATATAATGGCTTTAGTATGATGTGTTGACTATATATAATAGCTTTAGTATGATGTTTTGACTATATATTATGGCTTTAGTATAATGTGTTGACTATATATAATGGCTTTAGTATAATGTGTTGACTATATATTATGGCTGTAGTATGATGTGTTGACTATATATAATGGCTTTAGTATGATGTGTTGACTATATATAATGGCTTTGGTAGGATGTGTTGACTATATATAATGGCTTTAGTAGGATGTGTTGACTATATATAATGGCTTTAGTAGGATGTGTTGACTATAAATAATGGCTTTAGTATGATATGTTGAAGATCAACAACACGGGAACACAACGTTCAGCATTTTTATTTGGGTTTACATTTCTTTAAAGCTATTAATGATGTATTGTTTTAACGATTTTTGTAAGGTTAATTTATCAAATTATAATTTAACCGTTTTTGAGAATGAGCATTAATCTGAAATATCTTGATATCTTGGTGTTGTGCTTGCACCATTCTCCAATGGGTACATGGGTATTTATACAGGTCTGGTGCTGGTTTGTATCACTGTGGAGGGTAGCGAGCACAGTAATACACAGCTGTTTCTTCAGGTTGCAGGCTCTGCCCTTGGAAAGACACAGAGTTGCTGGAGGCATCTCTTGAAATACTGAACTTGTTTTTCAGTGCATAATTTTTGTAGATATCTCCATTATCGCATGTATGGGAGATCCACTCCATTGCTTTCTATGGGGGAAAAAACATAATTAGTCATATGGTAATTAGTATGAGTGTTAAGGCTAATGTTAAAAATATATTTTATTGATCATCAACCCATTCCTTCCCCCAAATCCCAAGAGACTCACAGGAGGCAGCAGCCAGCAGGAGCAGCAGCAGAGATGTAGGGAACATGGTTTGTGCTGAAACTGAACTGTTGGGAGCTCTTCTCTACTCCAACTGACTCTGAGACAGACAGTCACTTTTTATTCAGAGAGAGAGGTGGTGTGTTAGGCTCCTTTGCATATAGAGTTGGTATAAAAGGATAAGACTGTTATTAACTGTGTTGACCTGCATTATGAACAGTCAAAATGAAATACAAAATGTAGTCAACTTTGGATTATCAATTTATTTACAGTACAGTATTTATTACTATTATCACTTCCATTGTTTCAGTCATCACAGAACAGCTCTAAATCAGAACATAATAATTACATTTTGGGAATTTCTCAAGGATCTATCCTTGGTCCATCACTGATTTTAGTTTACATTAATTACTTTCATCTGGTATCTAAAAGTGTATTTGAAGAGTTTCATTCCAAAACGTTCAAAAATGTTGGTAAATTAGCTTTTATTGTTTAAAGAAATTATGAAAGAGATAGTGTGTTGTTCAATGACATACATGTTTTTGTTTCATATCTAGCACTTGATGGTTTCATTTCAGAAAGACAAATAATCATGTTTTTTTGCAAAACGCTGTATATACTCTCAGATAAATAAGTAGTACTGCTAGTTTTTACACAGTCAAATTAAACAAATAACTACATTTTTAATAAATCACTGTAGAGAAACAAGAAGAAACCCACAGACTGCTCTTGCTAGTATCACTGCTCTTTATTCAGCTTCACGTATCGGCCTCAAGGCCTTCCTCAGAGCTTTTGTGAGTGTTTTTAATCTGCACCCTTGTGTAGACATTGCTTTACAAACATCCGTTCAATGCATCGAATGGGGTTGGATTCGAGGGAAAATGAACATGTGTTACCAAATATAACAATGTGCATTTCATAGGTATTCTAATAAAGTGTGTACATAAAACGTATTAAACACGTCTGTAAAACCACAATGAGGACGTCACATATCAAGTAAGTTTTCATAAATCATTGGGTAGAGAGCAAGAAAAAACGTCAGAGTAGGCTGAAGTGGTGGCATTAGTTCATGTTCACATTTACAACATAATATGCATGTGCATCATTAAATGTCATATTTTTGGTCATTAAAATGTACTGCGACTGGATCATCCCTGTTGTTTCTCCTGATTGAACTTTTATGTTCACTAATTCTCTGTTTGAGAGAACGAGAGGTTTTACCAGCATAACACAGCCCACGTGGACATTTAATCATGTAGATTACATGGGTGGTGGAGCACGTAATAATGTCATTTATTTGGAACCGTTTTCCTGTATGTGGGTGGCAGAAATATTTGCACTTAATCATAATGCAGCGCTGTGCACAGCCTCTGCATTTATAGCTACTGTTAAGAAGAGGGCGGAAAATAACATGGCTCATTTTATTTTGTGGCTGGCAGTTGGCATGGACCAATTTGTCACGTAAATTGCGACCTCTCCTATATACAATAAGTGGTGGGTCTTTAAATTCAGCTGGCAAAGCTGGGTCTGATGATAAAACATGCCAGTGTTTCTTGGCAGCGTCTCCCACTTTGCGCGAGTTCAATGCATATGTGGTGGTGAACAATACAAAGTGTTCTTTCGCTCTAGTGCAGGGGTGTCAAACTCATTTTAGCTCAGGGGCCACATGGAGGAAAATCTATTCCCAAGTGGGCCGGACAGGTAAAATCATGGTATATATAACTTAAAAACAACAACTTCAGATTGTTTTCTTTGTTTTAATACTATCAACATAAAACATAAAGCTGGAGCCTGAGGACAGTGTGTCCAAAATAGTACAAGCACAACATCACTATTAATCATAAAACACCTCAAGTTTATTTGAAAATTCTAAAGAAAAAGAACACACAAACACACAATGCCTCAGTGATTCACATAACTGTTTCACAGATCACAGAACTATATCAGGGTGTCATTTCTCAGGCAGAAATGTAGATACAAATAATGAAATCCTGTTCCCCAAACAAGTGCAAGAACCACAGAGTCAAGAATAGGTTAAATATACAAATAAAATAAAATCAATTAAAAACAATAGCACATCAACATAAAAACATGTAAACATAAAGCTGGAGCCTGAGGACAGTGTGTCCAAAAGCACAACATCACTATTAATCATAAAACACCTCAAGCTATTTGAAATTCTGAGGACAAACAACACACAAACACACAATGCCTCAGTGATTCACAGAAGTATATCACAGATCACAGAACTATATCAGGGTGTCTCATGCAGCACTTTAAGTGGGGTTGCATAGTTTATTTGACTCCTGATACCTGGCATCTTTTAGCTTTCACCAGCGCATCAATATCAGGCATCACATCCTGAGTGGCAGCCAACTTCAGGATGTGATTCAAGTGCTTGTGCGTGAGCCTTGAGCGCAGCTTTGTTTTATTTATGCTCATTACAGAGAACTTGCTCACAAAGATATGTGGTTCCAAACATGCACAACCGTTTTGCAGCGAGGGCTGTCAAGTTGGGGTAACCTGGCAAGAGATTCTGATAAAATGTGTCCAAGCCAGCTGCGGCAAATTTGCCCTTCAAATCCGTGTCACACTGCAAGTATATTATTTCAAGTTGGATGCTGACGGGCAGATCAGAGGGATTCACGGTTAATGGCGAACAAAAAACGTTGAAGTCTTTCTCCAGTTCACCAAAAATCTGAAAGCGTTGATCAAACTCCCTTAACAGTCCAGTTATTTTATCTTTGAACCGCTTCATGTCTGCCACATGTTGGGTCGCGCACACATTTTTCAGACAGGGGAAGTGAGCTGCATCACCAACGGCGAGTTGCGTCTCCCACAATGACAGCTTCAACTTGAAAGAACGTATGCTGTCATAATACTGCGTGGCAACTTTGTTGCACCCTTGCAGCTGTTTGTTCAAGTTATTCAGGTGCTCTGTAACATCCACCATAAATGCAAGGTCCTGCATCCATTCTGCGGAATGAAATTCTAACACTGGTTTGCCCTTTTCTTCCATGAACTGTTCAATTTCTTCTCGTAAATCAAAGAAACGCCTCAGCACAGCACCTCGGCTTAGCCATCTTACCTCAGTGTGGTATGGCAGGCCATAGATGTGGTCTTTCTCTCTGAGAAGGCTGTCAAACTGACGTTGATTCAGGCTTCTGGATCGGATGAAATTAACAGTTTGGATAATATAATAATAATAATATAATAATAATATAATAATATAATAATAATATAATAAAAATAATAACCACCTTCATGATGTTATCCATCTTTAATGACTTGCAACACAAAGCCTCCTGGTGCAAAATACAGTAAAAAATCCAAAAATCACGTCCTCCATTTGCAGATTGCACTTTCTCTCTGAACTTTGTCACAACGCCTGCTTTTTTCCCGATCATTGAGGGCTCACCATCTGTAGCCAGGCTGACAGCGCGGGACCAGTCCACTCCGACCCTGTCCAGCGCGCTGACGAGTGCAGTGAAAATATCAGCTGCTGTCGTTGTATCTGTCATCGGCACCAACTCCACGAACTCCTCGGTGACGGTCAATGTGTCATCAACTCTGAGGATGAAAATGGCCAGTTGTGCAACATCTGTAATGTCCGTGCTTTCATCAATTGCAACCGAAAACGCAATAAATTACTTTACTTTTTGCTTCAACTGGCTGTCCAAATCCACTGAAAGATCGGAAATCCTGTCTGCAACTGTGTTTCTTGTCAGGCTGATATTTGCAAAAGCCTGGTGCTTTTCAGGGCACACAATCTCCGCTGCATTCATCATGCATGTTTTTACAAATTCACCCTCACTAAATGGTTTTGAAGCCACTGCGATTTCATTAGCAATGAGGTAGCTAGCTTTCACTGCAGCGTCACTGATGTCTCGGCTGTGAGTAAACACAGACTGCTGTTTCTTCAGACCCGCCAACAGTTCATTCACCTTCTCTCTTCTCCGCTGTCCTTGAAAGTTGTCATATTTGTCGGCATGAAGACTCACATAGTGGCGACGAAGGTTATATTCTTTCAGCACTGCAACATGCTGTGAACACACCAAACATACAGCTTTCCCATTCAATTCCGTGAATAAATAGAAGGATGACAATTTTTCTTGGAACACTCTGCACTCTGCGTCCACTTTTCTCTTTTTTGACAGAGACATATTGGGGCAATGAGGGTGCCAAAGCACATAATGTTAAAAGTAGAAGCCGTAATAAATATCGCGGGCAAAACAAAGTAGCTCATCCGGACTGGCTGCCCCGGTATAAACAGTTTGCTTGCTTAACACAATTGCTATTGCGCCATCCAGTGGACACAATTGGAACAGCAGTTTATTTTATTGAAAAATTGCAGCTCATTTTTATACTTTACAAAATCATCTCGCGGGCCGGATTAAACCCGTTTGCGGGCCTGATCCGGCCCGTGGGCCGGACGTTTGACACCCCTGCTCTAGTGGGTCTTTTTTGTAGCCGTTCACAGTGTTACACGCCAAAACAAAAACCACGGTGGTGGAAAATGGCTACCTACTTCATCTCATACGCACTTACAAAAGACACAATTTTAACACCTACTCCAATTATTGGATTCTGACTACAGAATGTATTTGTTTTAAATAAAATAAAATAGTATATTTAACTTTAAATTATAAATAAAAATGAACTTAATTACTGTGTATAAAACTGTCCTCAGCAAGTTGCTTTAATCATTGTCATGGTCAAAATGCCTGACAGAGCAAAAGCTGGAAGCCCAAACTAATCAAAGAGTTATTAATAAGTAGTAAAACATTATTTGACATACTGTTCATCAGATTAAAATCAATTAGATAATGTTATGGTTGTTGTGAAAAGTTGGACATGTTTATTCCAGCTTTGGCCCTGCACAGAGTTGTGGGGAGGTTTTTGTACAGGGTTTGATTTCTCAATCCACATATCGAGGTAATGATCATGTTAAGTGTCACATTCAAAAGTGCATTTTAGATTAGAGTCAATGTCATTGAGTAATGCCATAAAGTCTGACAGCTCTTCTCCCGTTCCTCCCCATGTGCAAAA